ATCAATGTTCTTACTATCCCTTTTCCATGTAGAAGTAGAATTGGAAAAATTTTTAGAAGAATACCGTTGAGACCTTCGTTGGATTTGCCTCTCGATCTTAATTGCAATGTGCAACAAACTCCTCAATATTAGAATAAGGTTGTAAATCAGTCTCGTTCGCAATCTCTGTGTTTAACCTATTAAGAACCCGCACCATGAGAGCCTCCATATCCTCATCGAGTTCAAGTCGGTCCATCAATGTATCTATCTCCTTGTAATAATCCTCCACAGATTTGTGTCCTTGTTTCAATGCTTGAAGCTTTTGTGCCATGTCTCGTTGAAAATATTGTGGAACAAAACGCTTCCTCATGGACTCTTTGAACTCGACCCATGAATCAATTGGTGCTTCAAGATTTCTTCTCCTACTTGACATCAATTTATCCCACCAAATTTGAGCATATTGTTTGAATTGAGCAATGCATAACAGTACCTTCTTTTCATCACTAAAATTATGACAGGTACACACCGATTCCACCATTTTCTCCCATGGAAGGTACTCCTTTGGATCGGTTTTGCCATAAAACTTGGGAAGTTTTAATTTGATGCTCCCCACGTTACGATCAATTCTATCATCATAAGGAACTCGTTGTTGTAAATTATGATACCTTCTTCCATGGTCTCTCCCTCGCATCAAGCCATGACCAACCGCATGTGGATTATCCTTGTGGTGATCAGAATTGTCGCCCTCATATGTATCGGTTGAGGGCGTAGGTAGTGGAATCCTCTATCGAGCTTGATTTTGAATCTCCAATCTGCCTATTCGATCAGTCAACTCTTCTATTCCTCGAATTAGTCTTTCCATGGTTTGTTGTTGTGCTTCTCTCAATCGTGCATCAGTAATGTCAGTATTTTCGTCTGAATTTTTCATGCTACAAAAGAAAAGTAAAGAAAAAAAAAGGACCTCACAAGCGCTCTCTCACGTGTATTCACTTGTAAATGTAGTTCACTCGTGTTTAGCACTCAACACTCGAATCAATGTGTCACTCCCTTACAAACTCACCCTCACAATTGAGCACACACAAATCACACTCCAAAAAATAAATTGGGATGTGAGACAAGCTATGTTATAGAGCTAAGTGCAATTCAAAGTGAATAGATAGCACACTCAACACATACACAAGGGTATTGAAGGAGCAATCTGAATAACGACAAAGAAACGAATTAAAGAAAGAAAATGATTAAGGACTAATTTAGACGTAGTAACATATGAGAGTTACATATAATAATCAAGAGGAAAAAAAGAAATGTCACAATCTGCAATATGATTGTGACTCAGTAAGTCATCGAGGACGATGACTAAGTTAAGTGGAGGAGAATGTCACAACCATAGTATGAAGAGAGTAGGTTGTGACCCTCACGCCATGACAAGCAAAGGGGCGTCTCGAGAGATGCCCCATCCGGCCATATGTGGGCCAACATAGAAGAATGCCATGATACGATCGAGGAGCATTTAACATCAATAAGCTTTCTTTCTTTCAATGGTTTTTTTTTTTCTTCTGACCGGCAAAATCTAATCAATTTACCAACAAGAAAATTGATTTAGAAGATGTTAAAGAAGAACAAAGTGTAATAAGATCCAGATCTAACACTTTAAAGAACATAAGAATTTTTTTTTATTTTTTATTTTGTTATATATTTTTGTGATAGAATATGAACATTCTACCCAAACTAAGAAAAAAAAATTATAAGAGAATTAAAAGAGATAAGCGCAATGAAACATATATCTGATCTTGAGCCTGAAGCTATGATACCAAATGATAAGATAAGGAACCACTACAAGGGGAGTAAGATTTGAATTACCTTGCTGATCGAATATCTCAAGGCAAAAACATTATTTGAGATTCGAATCACTCCACAAGTAAGATCGATCATGTCTAGCTTGAATGATTCTTATTGATCAAATATCTCAAACACTTGTTTGAGATTCGAATCACTTCACAAGCAAGATTGATCATGTCGAGCTTGAATGATTCTACATGCAACCTAAACTACATAGAATTGCAAATAAACTTAGCCAAAGAAAGCACAAATGCTTCTTTTATTATATATTTTCCAAGTCTACTTACAAATACAACATACATGGTTTTATATAGCCTCAAAATGAAACTACTGAAGACATTCCAAAAGTTTGTAACATTCATACTTAATGGCCTTAATTAACCATTATGTAATTGTAACTTGAAAGTCTTAAAATACATTAATGAAATACAATAACTCTAAATTGTAATTCACCCAAAATTCAAAACATGAAACTTCATTCTTCTTCACTGGGCATGAATTAAAATATCTTTCGATAATTTCAACAATATTTGCTTCACATCTTCATTGAAGCAGATTGTATGATTGATGTCTCTTGGTCATATCTCTTATAGTACATTTTGAGGCATTTTTGCCCAGGCGAGTGTAGTCGTGATTCTGGTGAACGGTCATACACCCCCGTATTGACCCAATATGAAATGGGAAAGTATGAAAAAAGGGGTTTGGAACCGACATGCAACCATAGGCAACATGCCTTGGACAAGCATGACCGTGACATCCTCCCCCACACAATTGGTTGACGTCTCTGTCAACCGACTCGAACAAGCAAGACTGGGGCATCTGTCATCCGGCCATAAGCAAGATGCTTTGGACAAGCATGACTGTGACATCCTCCCTATCAACCGACTCAAACAAGTAAGATTGGGACATTTGTCAACCTACTTTAGACAAGCATGACCAGTGTTTTCCATAAAGAGTTGTGTTCAACATAATTGAGCATTAAGTAACATTTGAAATAAATGTTTTAGGAAATACAGTAAATCAATTTGAAAGAAAATCAATGCTATAAGCTAAAAATCAATAAACAACCACCGCAATTTTGACAACATATGATCCGGAGAGAAAAAATAGCAACAACCACAACTTTCACCTACAACATATACATGTATTCTCGTATATATAATATCTAATAGCAACGACCACAACTTTCACCTATATATATATATAATCACAACCACAACTTTCACCAAAAAAAAAAAGGTGAAAATTAAATAACTAAAAATTGGATTTAATTTGAGGAGGTTTGCAATCACACATTTAGAAATTGTATTTATTTTCCTTTTATTATTTATTGTATTTTTGTTTATAAATGTTGGTTTCTTCCTTTAGAGAAACTTCAAGGAAGCTTCACTTTTCATATCTATGATTTATTATGTCACGAGGTTTGAATTTTTTTTTTTCTTTCATTTTTTTAAATTATTGTGTGAGCTCGTATTTATTAAAAGAAAATTCCAAAGAATAAATAATTAATTAAAAATTACATTTTTAAACCTATGGCCTAATTACATAATATTGATAAAAGAAAAATAGTTAAAATACTTAATTTATTTAGTAAAACTAGGGACAATGTTTATGGCATATTATTTTAGGTTTTGGGCGTCAATTTCATATGAGCTCAAAATTAAGAATAAAATATTTATAACAGCATAAAACCAAGAATAATAAAAGAATCAAGTAGCTTATTTTGGAAAATATTAAATAAAAATGATTTTTAAAAACTAAAAAAGAAAATAATGACATCAACTTTAATTATTAATGAATTTTTATAAAGTATCCAATTAGATGGTAACATTATTGCATATGGGAATTGACATCAGATAAAGTTAATTCTAATGGGAAATTCATTGTGCCCACCATTAATATAAACTTGGGAGACCCTAAAGCTTTTAGATGGTTTGGTTTATTCTAGGACCACTTTTTTTTTTCTTTTATTCTTTTAAATGTTCATGTTTTGTCAAAATAACTAGAATACCCGCCTTTCTAGATTGTTTGGGTTGAGAAGAAACTCTCATGTCCGATTCTGTAGTAGAGACGGAATTGAGAAATAACCATCAACTATAACCCGAAAAGAACCAGATTTCGTAAACACCATAGAGGAAGAATGAAAGGAATATCTTATCGAGGCAATCGTATTTGCTTCGGTAGATAAGATATTGAAGCACTTGAACCCGCTTGGATCACATTTAAACAAATCGAAGCAAGACAAAGGGCAATGAAACGAAATGCACGACGCGGCGAAAAAATATGGGTACGTATATTTCCAGACAAACCCGTTACACTAAAACCCACAGAAACACGCTATATTTCCAGAGCTATATTTTGTGATGGTAACCGATTAAGAATATAGTGAATTCCCATTTCCGATTAAAAATAATAAATAATAACTTCTTTAATTTGGACAATAATATAATAGAGGACAACCAATAATAAAGTTACCCGAAGTTTAAAAATAAAATTTAATTAAAAGTATCAACCCGATAACTTATTGTAATTAGTTTTGATAAATTGATGGGGTTGGGCCTGGGCCAAGCTTCGTGTTGTTTTATTTTTCTAGATTGGGCCGATCCATGGACTCTCGCCTTTGTCACAAGACATTCATTTTGAAAATATTCTCTGAACCTTTTTAATTTTAAAAAGAATATCATGGGCTTATTATCCTCTTTTTAGGTTTAAAAATGACTTCCAAACTAAATATATGACCAATTTCAAGAGTAGAGAATACACTAATAATTTACTTCAAACAGTCTTTTATCATCATTTTTCAACTAAATCTTTGTTATTTACGTCACTCTTAAATTCATAAATTTGAGTTCTAATGTCATAATATGTACATTAAAAACTTCCAACTATTTGATTTATAATATAAATACAGCAATTAAAACAGCCAACTGAATTAATGGTCAAAGTCAAAGAAAAACTCATTCGAACAAAACAGTTGGGAGCAAAAATTCGAACTTGACCTCTTTATCAAAGGTACAAATGAATGGTTACTCACTTGGTTGGCGCCATCCATTCTTGAAGTAATATATTCAGATTAGTGACTAATTGATACATCTTTTCCGCTTCATAAAAAGATAATATATATCGATCGATGTATGTGAATATATATATAACTTGAGGAGAAGCAAAAGAAACAACATTTGATCTCTCTGATCCTGTAGCCAATGTTTTCTAAAACAGTCTCAGATTCCTAATGATAAAAGGGGTATTGTTATCGTTAAGTTCATCACTATCTTAGAAGTTCTGCGGAGTTGAACATTGCATTGATTTCAAATATATTCCATATCGACGCAATTTAAATGGTTCGGAAAATACCATATTGGCGCATTCAAATGGTTCAGCAAAAATCTTCAACTTTGCAAAATAAAGTCCCTGCATAGATCATTCCTTACCGTGTAGATTTGTTCCACTGGTAGGCTACCGAAAAATTCATCCAATACATTTCCTGCAAACTGTATGGATTATTAAAGATCATGCTATTTTAGAGTTTAGCACAAAGTTGCACATTTCATGATGCTACCATCTCATACTTCTTCCCATTTCTTTTATGAAATAGAACTGTACTCAATAAAAGTTATACCTCCTTTTAGTAGGTATCGAGCTCCATTTACGTAAACAAAACGTCCATTCTGCTAAGAAAAGAACAAGGCATGTTCTACCATGATGCTAATATTACCCACGTATCCCTGGATACTACATTCGACACGAGATGATAGAAAGATGTGGAAACTTATTCTATGAAAAAGTTCAGAAATTTGCCTTTTACGAGATGGAGGAACTTGTTAATGCTTCTAAAGGCCAGATCTAGATACCTCTTAATGTAAGAAAAAAAGAAAAAAAAACATGGGAAATAAGACATCTAGTAATATATATAAGATTTTGAAGACCAAAATACTTCTTGGATGCAGGTTTGATAACAAGAAATGGGCGATCACATGGTCTTAAGAAAGAGATGAGATTTATTTGTTACCTCAAAAATGAGAAAATAAACGTCAGCCCTCTCAGCAGTAGAGTGAAACATGCAAATATTTTGTTCCTGCCCTACTAAACATGTGACAAACAACAGAGTAGCGCAAGCTCACCTAAGATGAAAATATAGGAGAAGCATTGAACAGTCTTTCATAAGAATCTATTATCAAAGAAATGTGGAAGTCAAAAAAAGTCTAAATTATACCTGAAGAAGAAGAAGTCATAACAATAAAAAATACCTACCTCAACCCTTTTCTTCTCTAATAATAATGATGAAAGGGAGATGATACAGTCAACACAGCTGTGAGATAGCAAAAAAAGTTTTACCGATACGGACAAAGTTAACTTGAGGTACCAAAGCATACATTCATAAGCTTCGAACATGAAGAGATCTACCTCATTTAGTCTCAAAGCTCAGACATCTTTTAACACAGATCATAATTATGGGCGCACTGGACTTCTAGATGATCTCCTGTGACCATGCCTTACAGGGGATCTTGACCTGCTTCGGTCACGATACCTATCCCTGCCTCCATCTCTTCCATTCCTAGACCTCCAATCCATTCCTCTTACTTCATCTCGGCCACCTCTTCTAGACCTTTCACGATCTCGGTCTCGTTCACGATACCTATCTCGATCCCTGTCTCGCTCTCTGTCACGATATCTGTCCCTCTCACTAGAGTCACTTCTCTTCCTTCTCTCATCCTCCTCTCTCTGCTTCCTCCGTTCTTCTGCCTCTTTCTCCCTAGCTAATCTTTCTGCTTCCCTTGCTTTCTCCTTCGCTTCCTGCCAGATAAAGTCCACTTAAACATATTCCACTTAAAGAAAAAAAGGTTAAACCTTCCTTTAGTTTTACAAATGTTTACCTTGTGCTCGGAGATGAAATCTCTGACCATACCATAGCCAACATGCTGCTTACCTGTGACATGAGACTGAACTCTCTCTGCAGCATCATTTGCTACAAGAAAAGAACCACATATCTCACAGAGTGCCATTTTTTTCTCCTGAGCAAGCATTAATACCTTGTCATTCTGGGTTTGTTGACTCAAGGCTGTTTTCTCGGCATTAAGCACATCCACCTGAAATGAAGACACCAAAAGTCCTATAAGAATAACCTTTTTTTTTTTCTCTTAGTGACTGAATTTGTGGTTCACAAGATGTTGCTTTGGACAGGAGTGGCTCACTAGATGTCTTATCACTCAATATCTGGAATCAAAACAAAATACACTAAATAATATCAAATTCAGTGTGAATTATTCACAATGTTTAATGGGAGAGATACACAAACTGCTTCTCATTTAGAGTAGTTATTTTCAAATAAAGTCTACACAATGGTTGTCTGGAATGCTTAAGGGGACCAAACTTGCATGATAAGTACCTTTCTCATCAGTGCTTCAGCTTCGTCCACTTTACCCGCTTCACCAAGGGCCTCCACCTGTTCTAGTAAATTCTTTATTTTTTCCTCCAGCACAGATAACTGCTCTGACTTCTCAGCTGACAATGGAGTTGGTGGAGCAGGTTCAACCTCTTGGGCAAGCCGCTCTCGCCCACGCCTGACACGCCGATCCAAGTCCATTACCTGTAAAAATAATTGAAGTTTCAATGGAAAAAAAACCAGAGTACAGACATCGCATCATCATCAATCTAAAGCATATAGCAATGACTAACCAATTTCTCGCAAAACTGAGCAAGTTCAGCCTCAAATTTGGGAACATAAGCATCATGCCTGGGTGACTTTTCAAAGCTGAAGTAGTCAACAAATTAAGAAAACGTTAAAAGAAGATAAAATTTTGTGTATTTCTTTTATAGCTACAGTTTACATGCGTGCTTAGATACATTTCTTGACATGAAATGTGTATTAACTAATCACATACACAAAATAAGAACCTGAAGAAATTTTTAGTCTTGAAGAACAAAACATGTACTCAAAATAAACACATAGTAATATGAATCAAGACAACTCAATCATGTAATATAAACTTCGAGGAAGATGAGCTTCATTTATTCTTAGATGGTTACAAATTTTGGGTGGATAATAATCTAGAGTTATTGTAACAACCCATGCCCAAGATTCAGATCCGGATTCGAAATCAAGATTTGGCACTTGATGGTCCTGATATTCCCCTGCATATCCCCTACGACATGGTCACATTATTTACTCCTCACTTTTAAGAGTGAAATATATCCCCGCAAACCAACACAAGTTCTTCCAGCATGTTATGTCATTACTCACATGTATCTTAGAAAAATTCTCAAGAGATCACCCAACTTAGAATTACTCTAAGTAAAGCACGCATCATTTTGAAGTTCCTATAACTAAGCCACCGAAAAGAAAGGTGTGTTTTGTTGGTATAGGTAGTGACTTTCAATTCTTTTAAGTCTTTCCTAACCATCCTATCCACAAGATCGCTCTCATTCGGATGTGGTCACAATTCATTCATGTACCCCTCCTTTACTCGGGCGTCATATACCCACCAGTTTCAACCTTGGTTCTTCTCCGAACCACATCTTACTAGGAGAAGTACAGCTCTTGTTACCCATTTGTAACGACATATGTCTAGGATTCGAATCATGATTCAAAATCCAAATTCAGCACCTGATGGCCCCAACATTCTCCTGCATTCCCTACGACATAGCCACGTTACTTACTCCTCGCTTCTAAGAGTGAAGACTGTCCCCACTAACCAACACGAATCCTTTAATCATGTTTTGTCCTCAATATATAAAGGCGTCCATACTAGTTGTCAATAACGATGCACGAGACCCGGGAATATTGCTTCTTTTTTTCAAGAAGATAGCTTTTCCAATTAAAAGAAATTAGTAAAGTGGATCTCTTTTATCCACAAAATGTCATGATACTCGAAGAACTCAGAAGGATACTTTTCAAATTCATAGATCCAAATAAAGCATCAGACAATAGAACCCACAAATTCAATTGATCCACAAGCTTCGCAGAAGGAGGGAGAAGCCCCCAGGTTCAAGCTTCATAGAGAGTGGCATTAGCACTAGCAGGAGCTGTTGGTGTGGGTTTTCTCTAAATGACCTTATTCTTATTCTTCAGAAGGCATTCAAAGGCATTCTGTTCTTATCCCCCAAATGCAAAGAAGCATCATCATGTCGCAATGAACCTTATGTTCATGGCAAAAAAATGGCCATCGTGGCATGGATCTCGATATAAAAGTGCACACCATAGTTGGGGTTGGCAATACAGGAAGCAACTCGCCTCTCTCCATAGCATGCACTTTAATAACACTTCATACTATCAAAAATACATGAAGAATCACACAAACGACCACTTACATATCGTAAAACAGGTTTGAACAGAAATGAGAAAGCATACAGATTTAAGACTCATTTCTATTACCGTGCTATTTCTTTGCAAGTCGCTTCAATAAAATGCAATATTTTCCCTACCTTAAGATTCATCAATCAGCACTCACCCAGATAAAAAAATATCTAACAGATAATTCCTCAGCTCGAAAATAAAGCATATATCTTAGAACCATCTTTAAGTTGCACAAGAGAGAAAGATAATTACATTTGTACGAGATGTGAACGTGCAGTAAATAGCATGGTATATAGCTAAGAATTGATACCATTGTAATATGAAATGGAAAGTTGCCATGTATAAAAACAATAGCCAACCACCACTCATGAAAATAAATCCAGTCAACCATCGTTATCTTAAATTTCCAAGAATATTGCTAGTGCAGTTGCCAGAGAGTTGTCCAGTCAAAGAGAGTTGTCTAAATATAAATAGTGAAAGCATAAGCTTTGTTTTATATCCACGTGCAATGACTACTACTAAATCAAATACATGAAGATAAAATTCGTGGAATAAAGCTAGCTGGTTATACAAGTACTCAAAAGGGGTACTTGGTTGTCACCTTTCTTTCAATTTCTGGTCATGTATCCTAGGGCAAGGTCCTGAAACAAAAAAAAAAAAACAAGAATTCAATCTTACAAAAAAAAAAAAAAAAAAAAAAAAAAAAAAAAAAAAAAAAAAAAAAAAAAAAAAAAAAAAAA